ACAAGCATGGAGCAACACAAAAACTAGCGAAATTCATTTGTTTGAAGCTCAATAAATTAAATGACAGATTTTCGAATACCGGTAAGAATTCATATAAATTTTCTTAAAGGATCAAAAATATTGGAATTGCAGGGACGGAAATGTTGGTACGTTTTGACGTACAATCCATGTCCACAAACATCCCAGGCGAGAAGGCAGTCATCGCCCTGCTGAAGGCCTTGGAACGTGAGGAGGATATCCCTGAAGCGGAGCGGATATGGAATGAGTCGTTAACACTACTAATAAACCTGACAGTAAGTACCACATATTTTACATTCAACGACAATATCTATGAGCAAATATGTGGAATACCGATGATATCTCCACTCTCACCTCTTTTGGCAAAAGTATTCATGGACAGATTGGAGATGAAATTCGCGAAGTCACCGATTCAACCAAGGGTGCTTGTGCGATACCTGGACGACTACTTTGCACTTTGGTCGCATGGTAAGAAACATTTGGATGAATTCCTCACTTTTATGAACCAACTTGATGAAAAAATTAAATTCATAATGGAGGTAGAGGAGGATTAAAGACTACCCGTTCTGGATATTGAGGTCATTCGCTTCAACGGACTACTTAAAAGGAGATGATTTAAATAGAAATCATTTGCAGAAATAATCCTCAATTTCCAGCCTCATCACAATTACGGACTGAAAATTGGAATAATAAGGAGCATGATCATCAGAAGCTTAAGGCTAACGGACACTGGGCTCTTGAACGAGGAGTTGGGGAAAGTGACTCGGATTTGCTTTAATAACGGGTACCCCAGAGAATTTATGTAAAGAAATATAGGAGTCATAAAGAGCAGATTTCAACTTTGTATTTTATGAAAATAAGATCATAAATCGAGAGAACAACAAAAAGTGGATATGCCTGCCTTCCTGTGAACTGAGCCAAAAATTGCGACAGTTGTTAAGAAAATGGAATATCAAGGTGGTAACAAAAGGAAAGATAACACTCTTCACAAGCCTGCCGGCGCAATACGAGAAGGTTAACAAATCTGATCGCTCGGTAATCTATAGCATCAAATGCGGCAACTGTGAGCAGAAGTATATCGGTGAAACAGGAATAAAAATCAGCCTATGAATCAAGGAGAATCAAAGACTCTGCAGAAACATGGACACTGAAAGATCCGAAATAGCAGAACACGTCGCACGAACGGGACACGAAATCGAGTGGAAGTCGAAAGATAGACTGGCTGTATATGGTGGAAATACAAGAGAACGTAAGATACGAGAAGCCATTGATATCCTTACTGAAAGAAACCTAATAAACAGGAGACTTGAAGAGGGCAAGATTAGCGAAAACTTTGCATACTGCCTAATTAAACTCTGGGAAGGTCAGGGAACAGGAATATCAGCAAAAATAAGACGACTTTTAATTTTAGGAAAACAAATTACAAGGAGACCAGAGAGGAACATTTCAAAACCAAGAGAAGACGTCTACAGTGAACCTATTAACATCAAGTAGAACCATCACATTTAGGGGTTGGCACGCAATAGAATGTCATAGGAGAGCGAGAGAAACGAAGGTGGCCATTTCTAGTTTGCTATTAATAGATTAGTTAGCTCATAAACGTATTCCATGAAGTAAAGACTTGACCACGAGATTTACTTGGCGCACAGGCCGCACAGTGAATCTGCTGCTTCAAGTTAGGCTACCATGCCAATTGATAATCCAGACTTTATGGACTTACTCAGTGAGGGTAGTGTATACGTACTATCAAAGGCTTGAGACAGTGTAGAACAACGCCGTGAAAGTAGCATGAATACGGTGGCAACGATGGATTGAAATCACTTAAACAGGCAGATAAGGGAAGGATCTTACGAAGCAAGAAAAAATTCTGATAAGACCCGAAGATAAAGGATTGCTGATTAAACCACAGCCTTGGATCAACACTCCCGGCACAGTGGGAGGAATGATGAAAGTAGCAGGAAGTGTGAATAGATTTCAAATATGTCAAGATAAACAAGTAATAAATTGTGATATTGAAGGGGTGATACGAGGATACAGGAAAGGTGAATAGCCCAGGACAGAAGGAGAGATATCACAATTCTTAAGCACACGTTTGGTCGAAGGATTGGCTTCACTTGTCTCTTTGACGAGTTGTGGTGTGGTGCTAAGAATGGCGAGGCTCACTGACGATGCCGACTACGATGCCGGATCAACGTCTGGGAATGTACCACGTCCACGGTCCGACTCTGGAAATGATCATGCATACAATGGACTCCAGACTAGATGCATTCCTCAAAGTATTTCTACCAATATGACCAAGTTGCGAAAACAAGGTCAAACAACTTATATTCCATGATTAGGTTAACTGTTTTATGCTTGTCCGACACACATGTAAGTGGATCAAAGTGATGCAGGAAGGGTAGCGGATGTGGTCACAACTTTTCTGTATATAAATAAACTGTCGTTATCCTAAGGCTTGTTAGATCTTCGTGGATGCGTGTTCGTGTGTGCATGCAAAACTCACGAGTTGGTTGGCAATTTTATGTCCATAGCCTTACTCCAGCTTATTCAAGTCCTTCCTCTTATTCAATGGCTCATCCTGTTCCCTTTTCTTCACTATATATATATTATTCTATTCAGAAACCAGGGCTAATTAATACTCAGTTCCCTATATTCGTTCCTCTTATTCGGTATGTTCTTTGTTTTCTTAATTTCATTCTACTCCCTGATCTTCCGCTTAGCTGTGAAGTCCCATTATCCGTCAAAACTTTGGATCTAGCCCGCTCTAACTTATATTGGGAGACTTTTCGACACATACATGAGAAGCTATCAGAACGCAGAACCGCCTGCAAAGGTCTAGGCGTTCAGAATTCGGAGTTGGTAGAACATGTGGTCACTAAAGGACACCATATAGAATGGTTTAAAGCCCAACATTTTCCTGGATACAAGGACTTCACAGCTAATCAGAAGATCAGGGAGTAGATTGAAATTAACAAAGCAAGGAGCCTCCTGAATAAGAGGAACGAATTTAGGAAAGTAAATAAGAACTATCTGGCTGAGAGATAGAGTAACAAGAAAAAAGCGTAACATCAGATCCGAATCATCAAGGCTTGATGACCTAGGGAAAATAGAAAAGAAAAAGACGACCGAGATTGCGTTAGTGCGTGAGTAACCCTGGTTAAATTGATGGGATTTAAGACTGTATGGGCGAAAGTAAAGTTAAGAAACCACCAGTAAGAACCCGCTAGCTTG